CCTAGTTGCTGCTTTAGTGCAGGTTGATGCCAAAAGAAAATCATTTTCTCGCTCGCAAAGAGTTCAATTGATCTTCATTGGAATAAAGACGCTTTACAAACCCACCCCATTGTCTTGTTTACAAGAATTTCAATTCCAGAAGCTGAGAAACATAATTTTGTTATAATCGAAATGATTTCCTGTAGTTCATTCTTTTTTATTCTCCCTCCTCTACAATTCAATGGAATTTATCACCTAAAATTTGACTTCCCATATATTTTCCACTGGACCTGTTCTTACAAAATTATAATATCTTCTCTTCCTGGCCTACCTTCTTTGTCCAGATTAGTAGTCGTAACTTGGACAGAGTACGCAAACTGAAGAGTGCAATGACCAGGTTGACAAATAGAGTTCAAAAGGTATTCTTATATGATTTTTGTAAATGTCAATTCTCTTTCTAGTTTCTCACCCTTCTTGCTTATATATATAGTTCTGGAAAAACAGCTGCTTCCCGGGTGTAGTATAGTTTAGGTTACAAGTTAGAACATGTTTAAAGTAAAATTTCCATCAAAGCTGAGGGTGGGAAGAGGAAAAAGAAACCTTCAACAAGTGTCATAAAATTTGATCTAGATGCATGCTCTTGCAAGTTAAAGTCACTGATATTGTGTACCTATATTATGGACCTATACTTTGCACACAGATAAGAGATGAACTAGAAAATCTACTGGATGATGATGATGATATGGCCGACCTTTACTTATCGAGAAAGATGGCTGTCTCATGCTCGCCAACTAGTAGTTGTGATGCCCCCAATTGGATTCTTAGCTCTCCAACTATAGGTTCAAGGGTTCGTAGATCAAGCAGAGCAAGTGCAATGACATTTCAAGAGAATGATGTCGAGGAGCTTGAAATGTTACTCGAGGTCATTAATATCTTCAACTTAATCTGCCCCAGATTTTGTTGGGTTACTCGAGTTGATGATGCTAATAGATGGTATACTGTTTGCAGGCTTATTTCATGCAAATTGATGGCACATTAAATAAACTGACCACAGTATGAGCCCTGCTTTCTATTGAAGCTTCCCCTCTTCTCTTTCTGTTCTCTGGTATGCTATATGGAGAGCAGGTAATATGTATTATGTAATAATCTTTGTTATTTGTTTTGTCGATCTAATACAGCTGCGGGAATATATTGATGACACGGAAGATTACATCAACATACAGGTAAATATTTTGGTATGAAGATAACCTATTTATTCCATTTAAGTTCGCTTTAAATAGATCACATGCTACATTTGTAAATAAATCCAATGAGTGTCAACATTGCGAGTGAGCTGGCAATAGGAAATTAGTATCAATGTATGACGTTCATTTATCATTGTGTGACATGCGCTTGCAGCTTGACAATCACCGAAACCAGCTGATTCAGGTAAATATCTCCAAGGTTATCCATTCATTTCAAGACAGACTGCTTAGTCTTAAATATACATTCTGTGAGTGCTACTATTGTTATCCTTGTATTCTTAATTACAGCTAGAGCTCTTCCTCAGTTCTGGGACTGTGTGCCTGTCCATATATTCCTTGGTGGGTGCAATATTTGGCATGAACATCCCGTACACCTGGAAAGAAGGACACGATTATATGTTCAAATGGGTAGGTACAAGTGTTCTACTAAAAGTGCGATAAAGGATTTCCTCATCTTCTAACAATCTCTTTTCGCTCCACACACACATATGCGAATAGAATCCATGATATTTGTTATTTTGATTGCTTTTCTGATTTCTTTCAATTGAAAATTTGCGACTCTAGGTGGTAATCTTTACGGGAATAGTTTGTGGATCCTTGTTTTTGTCCATAGTATCATATGCTCGGCGCAAAGGTCTTGTCGGGTCTTGAAACAAAGATGCCATTCGAAGGGACATTGTGGATGATAGGCTCGGCACTGCGAATAGATGGGAATCAGTGGGATCCAATTGTACAAGAAATAAAGTGCAAATTGTTCTATCACGTTGCCTGAATAATTGCTTAATTGTTCATATTGTAGTTGAATTAGAAGTTGAAAACTGAAGAAGACGATTATAGATGAAATGGTTAGTTGATAAAATTGATTCTTACCTCGATATAAATTAATGTTGCTGTCATGGGATTGACGAGGAACGTCATGTTTTACATTTGAAAAAAAAAAAAATTACCTGGAAGCGGACACGGTGCAATCTGACTTGTGAATATGGAAGCTAACCTGTAAGATTGACTTGTAAATATTGAATTCTTGAAATTTATCAGCAAGCATCCTATTTTGGATGCCTTTTCGTAAATTGACCGCTTTATCAAATTAGATATTTTAGACGCAAATGGCTCGCATTTGATTCGTATCATTATCTGAACAGGATTAAACTTATTGATTTAAATATAAAAAGTTGAGGAGTTGAAGCGATGAAACGGGATTGTTTTGACATTTGGTCAAACATAGACAAAATCCATAGAAAGTAGAAACACGAAATTTGAGCATGTTAATCATTTGATTGGTTTGGTTAGGTTAGTTATTGGTTTGCAATATTGTGGTGTTAAAAAGTTTTTCTTCGTGTTTTTTTTTTCAATTTCTTAATTTTTTTAAATGTCATAACAAGTAATGGGTTTATACTCGGGGCTTGCCCACGTGATAAGGGAATGGCAACGCCAGGATAAAGTTTATAAGTTTACAATTCAAAAATAATCTATAAACCTCTAAAGTTTCATTTTTTTATATAATTTTTATTTTTATAATTTTTTTATTCAGTCTTTGTCTGTAGTTTCCAAAAAAATACAAAGTCTTAAAAGTTAAATTTTTCAATAAATAAATAAATAAATAGTAAGGCACATAGTTGGGGCTCATTTCCCATGGTTTCATATTTGTGAAGCACATGGGAGCCAACAACTATTTGTTGAGCGAAGTCATTAGATAGAATGGTCGTGGTTTTCCCTATACAGATGCCAATGAACTGACATTCATCAATGAATCAACGTTACATTGAATCTACAATCGTAAAACAAGGTACAAATTCATTAATATTAATGTTTAAGCTGAGAATATCAAGTTGTGAAATTCATTAGTATTAATTGTTATATTTTTTTAAAAAAACTACAAGAACAGAAAATAAAGATATACAACGCACTAACCAATCACGGACTTTATTATGATCAAATCAGGGGAGTATTTTGACAAGTTTAATATTGAATTAAATTGGATTGAAGGCTCGTGGAGACAAATTAAATTCGGCATTGACTGTGTTGCTATTTACTGATAACAGGACTAGTGGGAAAGTAGTGATAAGGAGGGAGGCAGGGGCATTGGGTCTGGGAAGTGGCACGCGGCCATAAATTGCCATAATCACGTTATAATATTGCGCCATGTCCGAACCGCTCCAATCATTTCCAATTATTTGCTTGCTGCCACGCAACCAATGCCAATACTCCCACGGCCTACCTAGCCTCAGCAAAACAACATTAAATCAAACCAAATCATCAGAACCAGCACCACGAACTTAGTGATAATAAAGGAGGGTTCCTCTTTAAACACAAGCCTCCGATGAACAACTATTATGTGTTAAAAAACTTGGATGCACTTGTATTTAAACAAAACACGGGACTAGGTACGTGTAGCTACTGTTGCATGGAGGGGATGAAGGAGGCGCGCGTGAAATGGTCAAATGTGGTCACTCAGGTCAGGGGCCACATGGGCATGTACTTAGGAAGGGTCGAAGCCAGATCAGAAGACTTTGCCGTTACCTTATCTGCCACCGTTGTCACGAACATCACGTGTCGTTATTATATTCCTCCTCCTCCTTACAAACCCTATTGGACGGACCTACCCTTTTCTTTTTGACTTCGTTCCTTGACAGCCCCCGCTCAACCCTGCGGAACACACAGGCTAATAAAAGATAGATAAATCCTCCAATCCTTACTTTAATGTGAAGGGAATTATATTTGGAATCTCAGATTTGACATTTCCAAACGGCCTTCACACCTCTCGCTGGCTCCCTTCTCAACACCCTCATCATTACCCTGTTATTGCCATAAATATTAAACACCCCCTTCCAGCTTTTTTTTTTAGGAACTGAGATTTTAATACCCGTCCGATTTTCAATAAAAATTTATTTAATTAATTTAATTAGATTAAAAAAAATTAAGTTAGTTAGTTAATTATAAGAAATATGACATGTTTCTTTTAAAACACCGTAATCATTTTTCTTAATATTCTTTGTCTTTCTTATTTGATTATAGTTGAATGAGCTTTAATAGAGATAATTTGAGAAATACTAATAATGTGAAAAATAAGTCTTATATTTAAGATTAAAATCAACTCAATAATTAGGTCCTACATTGATAACCGGAAAAATATTACAGTAATTGAGATTTTAATCATGAATTTACCACGCGCATTTCCTAGTTTCGGGATGCATGTATGTAACGGTAGATTCAAGGAAAAAGTTTTATGGTTTCCCAGTAAATTGAATCACCCAGCAGGGGAATTGAATCTTCTGTGCACATACATGTACATGCACGCCAAGCATGTATGTTTATGGAAGAAAGAACATTCTAGCTTAGCTGCAATTATAAAGAGGTTTTAATTTTATGTGCATGAACTAATCATTAATTAGGTGAAATTGTACAGGATTCAGAAATGAATCCTGCTGTTCATGAATTTGATTAAAGCAGAGTGCACTGTAAATTACAATTTATAGTAACTCATAATGATAATGATTGCAGGAGGCACGAGGGGGAAGAAATATGGATAAATACAGTGCAGCGCATGTTAGAGTCCTGCCCCGCCGTCCACAACACGAAAGTAAAGGCGCATGTTAAGGTGGGGAGAGCACCACGGCGCACGTTATCACAGCCCCTATTTCCATTAGCTGTCGTCGTTGGTTGAAGTGTTCGAACCCCTCTTTAAATAATTTCGCTTTGAAGTGTATTTACAAGCCCCCCGGAATAAAAGAAAAAGAAAAACAAATAAAAGACAGAAACTTCAGACTCTTGGTTCATGCTCTTCTCGACGCAGAGGCCCCTCGATTCGGATCATCCACATCTCCCTCTGTCCAAATCTAACAAAACCGACGTCAAATCTTCACAAATCAGACCAACCCATTTCGTAATCCCGCCCCAAAAATCCCAAGCTGCTGTTTTTATCCGTCTTCACCGAACGCTTGGTCCGTTTTCTTCTTTTTACGCACGCGTCTTGTGCTGTTTCTTCCACGTTTTCTCGTTTCTTAATCCATGTCATCTTTGCATCTTTCTCTGCTTCTCAGGTTAATGCCGATGATTACAACGAAATGGACGTAAATTTCGCTTGCGTGAGCTTAGTCATAGCATGCACTGGGTGGATACGTGCGTGAGATAGGAGCTGCGAGGTGAGGGCGAGGCTTGTCGGAGTTAGCGATGGCGAATCAGGTAGTCAAAGTGAAGAGGGAAACGATTGCAGCATGCATGACCTGCCCACTCTGCAACAAGTTGTTCAGGGAGGCCACCACTATATCTGAATGCCTGCATACGTGTGAGTCCTCTTATCTTTCTGTTTCCCTTCGAATCCTCTTTCTTTTAGTTTAATCTCGTGTTAATTCTTCAAATTTTGAATCTTCTGGGCATTTTTCATCACCGACTATCTTAGCTATCCTTGTTTTGCATTATTCTTATGGCTTCGGCTCTCCTTTGACCCTTCCTGGGATGGGCATCTGGTGTTTTTGTATAATCAGCTATGAGTAATTGGTCATTCAATGCTTTTGAAAATCTCTCTTTCTCTTCCTTCGTAACGATGTCTCACTATTGGTGACGTGAATGCCAGATGGAAGAGCTTTATCCTTTTGATTGGCCAACCATTCATTGACGCCTTTATATTACTGTGCTAAGCGTGAAGCTGTTTAAACGTTTGACTTCAAGTGACCATCACATATACACGATAAACTCACGTTCGCTCATACACGAAGCTCAGATGCTGGCACTGCAATTGTATCGTGACGGAGAGCACAATATGCAATTCCCCCGCTTTGGCCTCGTAGCTAGATCTTGTTTATAGCGTGATTATATAATCTTCTGTTCTGTGTTTTTTCTTGCTCGTTTCACTCCTCTAGTGCAGATTTCGCTGAAAATTTGCCTTCAAGGATTTTACTTCGTGCACTTTGGTGCCTAAAAAGTGTAGGAAATTGTGTCCTAGTGAATCCTACCTCATAAGACGAGGCTCAATATTCCTTGTTTACTTGGCCTTGTTTTCTATACCATGAGGAGTTTATACTCAAAATAGCTATGCTCAACGGATTTTTTCACAGACATTTCATAATATTTTGTTGAGCTTTTGATAATGTGAAGGTTATATTTCCAATTGAGCGCTACGGTGACCAGATTCACTGAACATGTCGTTACTGATGATTATTTCTCTGAACTTCATGCAGTTTGCAGGAAGTGCATATATGACAAAATTACAGATGAGGAATTGGAATGCTGTCCAATATGCAATATTGATTTGGGCTGTGTTCCGCTGGAGAAATTGAGGTTAGCTTCCTGCGATTGAGCCACTCTATTATCTCCTGTACTTTTTAAAATAAGGAATTGACCGCCCCTCTCTTTCACTTTAGCAAGTTTGCAGTTTGTTCAATATGCATGTAAGGTGTTATTTCAACATGTGCCGAGAATGTTCATCTTCTGCAAACTGCCCCCTAATTGTTATAATGCTGTTACAGTAGAGCTACAAGATAGATGCTTCTTTTAACAAACAAATCATATTTTGGATTCGTGTGTGCACGCACAGTAAAGAGCTTGGATTTTCCAAGTTGCAAAATTTATTGAAACACACTCTGTTTGGTAAGGAGGTTGAGGAGAAATATGTATCACACATCATAGTACTAAAAAGTCTTTGACTTGATCTTCTTTTATGGTGCTGTTGTCCAGGATCAACATGCAAGAATAATTGTTGATGCCACTATGTGGTGTCACGACTGGGTTATATCAGTTTTGTCAAATTTGAAAACACTTATGGCAGAAGCACTCAATCCTGCATATCAGTAACTTGTCACGATAATAATGCATATGAACTATAGCTTATGAGGAAGCATAATGAATTCTTTTCTATTTTCATCAGTAATTTAATTGCCTATTTATTTATAGTAATATAAACAGTCTACTTTTGTAAGATTTCACGGAAGACTTATATGAATGTTTCTAATAATACAAACAATAAGAACGGACCATGATCATAAAAGAGAGCCTAAGATGTGGGACCTCGAGAACCTATAATGCTACATATGGATGAGAGACTAGGCTTGTGAAATATATGATTGTATTGAGAATTGATTCTGATTCAGAAAATAAAAAGTTCCCTAAATATAGACAGCTCTATATTGTCCAGCTCTATACACAGCTGGGCAATGTCGCGACATTTCTTTTCTTACCACAGCAACTCATAAAAAACTGGTCAGAGAAGCACATTCTGAAATTGCTTTTATGATCATAGACTAGTACACCACAATTCACAAGGGCCTTTTCGCCCACATCCTGAATGCTAAAAAGAAAAATGCTGTTCGCACAAGCCATTTGTAACGAAGCACTCAGCTTCCGAAACAGGGTTCTATTTTGGATTGTTGCATGCTAAGTTGCTGTCCTTGTTTCTTGACCACCAGGCCAGACCATAGTTGGCAAGATGTAAGGGCTAAAATTTTCCCTTTGAAGAAAACAAAGGCAAAGGCACCAGAAGTTGTCCCCTCAGAACCATTACCAGCTAGAAGAAAGGAAAGATCACTTTCATCTTTGGTTGTCAGCACCCCCAGAGTATCAACACAGGCAACCATGACAGGCAGAAGAACAAAGCCTACAAGGAAGGCTAGTGCTTTACGCTCCACTAGTTTTTCCATTGAAAAACCCATTGTAAAAGAGGAAGATTCAATCGAAGATCATCCAGAGAGTTCAAGCTCCCATGATACCTCCAACAAGGTTGCTCAGACTACTAGACAGGTAGGAGATACAATTAGGCTCCGTCATATGTGATTATTCCACGTCCATTTTTTCTAAGTTCTAACATTCAGTGTCTTTGTGCAAATTTGTTTTCTCTGATTGTATTTGCATTGCTTTACTTATATTGTCACGCTCGTGTATTTGATTGGTGTAGAACTCGTCCCCTCATGATGCAAGCCAATCTGTTCCCAATAAGGAGAAAAATAATGGGGCTGAACATTGGGAAGCAAAATTGGATCTTTGGAAACCTTTGAATTGTTTGGTGGAGGTTGCAAGTAGAAGTAAATCTCTCAAGTCCAACATGCAAGGATGTGATGCTAAACAAGAACCTATTCAAATAAATGAGAATGATTCTCAAATACAAAAATCCAAAATTAAGGACATCAAACGAAAGTCAAAAGTTGAGGATGAAAAGATCGTCACAGATCCTGCTTCTACAGATACAGCAAAAGCCAATAAATTGCGTAGAAATCGCCGAAAAAAAGAACCTGTTGTGGGTGAATCAAGCATATCACCCCAAGCTGTGCTGGATGCAAACAGTGCTAAAATGAAAGAAAGAACTGGTCCAATATGGTTCTCCTTAGTAGCTTCCGACGACCAGTGAGAATGCTTAGCTTTGATGCTTGAATTAGTATAGAATATTTTGGATTTTGATGCATAATGTTATCCGGTTTTTTTTTTTGGGTTATTTATTTACTTTATTTGAACTACTGATTCAGGGACAGAGATGCACCACTACCTCAAATTCCTGCAAGTTACTTGAGAATAAAGTAATTTCCTTCCTAATTACTACTTAATTTTTATACTATTTCTCTAGTCTTGGTTTGGTGCATTGATTTATTATAAAAAGTACAGCATTGAGGAATTTATGATACCATATTGCTGAGTAGAATTTTCCATATCCTTTACTTTGCTTGTTACTGAATGTTTACATTTACTGCAATATTGGTATAGTAATATCTTATGTCTACGTGGATAGTAAGTAAATGATGGATCAAAGAGTAATTACATGAATATCTGTTTAATTCCTACGTCTATCATATTGGCTAACCATTTCGGCAAAAATGTTTAATAACATGAATATGCGTTTAATATGTCTTATTGTATTGTCTGTCTGTACTCCGTAGTGGTTAATGATTGCGTTATCATCAGATGCAAATCATATTAGATTCTTTTTTAAGCTCTCATTTCTTTTCAATTTTTTTTAGTCATTTGGTAATACTAAGATAAGCGTCTTCATGTGGTCTTCCCTAAGCTTTTCATGAAGAGAATTTCATCTTTACTTGAAATTACTCGCATGCATTGATATTCCAGAGTTCACCACCGTTTCCAGCTTATCATCAGGCATTCTTCATGTTTTCAAGAGTGGGGGTCATAAGGGGATAGATCTTACTCTTAGGACAGGGTAACTCCTTTTTCATATGTAATTTAGCGTCAACTTTTAGTTACCGTCCCTCCAGTGGAATGGAAACCATTGCTTAGCCATATATAAATATATATATTTTTTATTATAAATGATCCGCCTTGATTAATGGCATGTTATTGACCATGTTCTTGCCATTTATAGCAAATTTTGGCAATACATAATAACATAATCATAAAACTGGGAGAGAGGGGCCTAAAGATTGTCTGGTGAATTTTAAAAAGTTGTGTATTTTCCATTTTCCAAGAGTTCCACAATCATGGAGATTTTTTCTTTCCTCATGTTTCAAAAATTGTGAGGTACACACTTTATATGAAAGACTATAGCTTTCTCTTTCTTGCATTTGGAATAAAGGGGTCATCTGTTACGTGATCCAAAGATACCTCACCTTTGATTTGTAGTCATCGGGAAGAAACTAGATCTGTGACTCCTCACCTTTGATTTCTGAATTACACGTGAACTGTGTTAGTCAAAAACACGAGGCATTTTTTGCCCAAGAAAAAAGGGACAAGAGGCATTTTGAGAGAATAACTATATCAGGTTCATGCCTTGGTTAAGGATCTGTGGCTGAGGTTTTGAATCAACTAATGGAATATCAATCGGAGAATAATATATATTATATCCTGTTGATATCTTACGCATTTCTCTTTTCTCTTTTTGCTGCAGGGATGGAAACATGCCTGTCTCATTCATCCAGAAGTACCTAATGAAAAAATTAGATCTGACCAGTGAAGATGAGGTGACTCACTCCCTCTCTATTCTGTTTGTGATGCATAAAAATCCATTGATATAATTAAAGGGAATAGCTGCACTGCATGATTTGGTTTTGTTATTTGGCTCTCTGGTTGGATGCATAAATTTCATGTATTTTAGTTTTCTGAGAGCCAAGTTCATGTCATCTGCTTTTGTGTCATATTCACAACAACGATACTTTGATACCCTGCACCACAAACCATCGGTACAATCTACAACTTATGCAGGCACCTTCTTTACTTATCATACGACAGGGCATGAACATAACAGGATCATATTCTTTTTACACGGTCTCTTTCTGAATATTATTCTTTATCCGTTACTCCGGTCGCATCACACCACAAGGTGTCGCATGTTGGTCTGATAAATACTGAAGGTTGTCAAATAAGCAAGCATTTTACATATAGGAAACTATTACTGCAAAAGAGCTCCCTTGTTTGCATTAATTTATGACAAGAGCTAAGAACTTTATTTTCCTTACTAGGTGATGCAGAGGGATGAAATCAATTTGCTTGTAATGAGTTCTTCATTTTAGTTTCCTTACATGTTTGCTGACACGTAGTTGATTAATTTTCAGGTTGAGATTAAATGCATGGGACAACCAGTGGTCCCTACATTGCAACTAAATAACTTGGTTGACTTGTGGCTGCAAACAACATCAACATCACAGAGAATCCCAGCAGCCATTGGATCATCAGCAAAAGATTTTGTTATGGTCCTGACCTATGCTCGCAAGGCCCCGCCTCCTTGATCCATCTGCTTCCTCAGTCTGTCTCTGTTGCAGTATAATCACCTTCTTCATCCTTCTTCTTCTTCCTCATTCTGTCCCCGCCGCAGTACAAATCATCTCCCTCACCGGGCATGTATGCTGAAACATGCCTTTGATAATGTTTCCTGTCACCATATGTTGCTTTTAGCCGCATTGTTGAGGAGAATAAGATAGGCCACATAAGTTCTGCCTTCAATATAACTTGTTTTTTTCAAGTGCATGCTTCGGTTTTCCATTCGCCCAGTTTAATTATTTGATGATTGTGCAGCCTGCATCGTTTCTTAGGTATACTAGTTACGTGTCAGCGTATGACTTGAATGCAACAGATCATTTCTTGGGGAGTTTCATAGTTGAGTCGTTTTTCTTTTTTAGATGCACAGTTTAAGATTCAATTTTGATCCCTTATGAGTTTAAGCTCAAATAGAATAGATTTTCTCTTTCCTTTCTTGACTGGTTTATTCTCCATTTAATCAGAAGAAGAAGAAAAATTTAATGGACCCTATGTAGCATAATACATTAATCACCACTCTGTGAGAACGGAGTGATAAAATAACCAAATCATTTATTTTAACCATCTGTGTTTGGCAAAAGAAAAAAAAAATCATCAGATAAACCAATCGTTTTTGTATCCTAACTAACTTCGATTGGATAATTTTGTGCTTTTTCTGAAGCAGTAGCTGCCAGCCTGCCACTTCTCTTTCTGGTTTCCATGAGTTTTTACTCCTTTGGTGAAAATGAGCACGCATGGTTGGCAGTTGGCACCAAAACAGTACATTATTAATTTTGGTAAAAATAGAAAATACATCAGTTAATAAAAGTTGGTTAAAAGTGCGTTATCGTCATATCATGTGATGTTCAGACTTCGCAGAATAAACTTGTCTGCTCTAAAATAAAACACGAAAATGAACCGTACTGTATAGATCAGATCTCCCAAAAGATTGTGTTTTACTAATATTTTTAGATGAATTTAAGGAACAGGCATAATAAAATGCTTTTTTTAGTATTTCTTTTATAACCAGTTTAAATGAAATTTACTTTAGTTGGGATAATAAGATTCTGAATTCGCACTATTTTATATTTAAATTTCTTAAAATAGAATTTGCCTCTGTCAATTTTTTTTAGTTCCTTACATTTTAGTTTAATAAACATTTTTTTTGTTTAAGTATAAAAGCACAAAGAACACTTTAAATTTATAAAAATAAATCTTTTTATTTATTTTGTCCATTTTGCGTATCAAACTAATAGTTGATATCTAAGTCTCCAAATTAACCAAGTGAAACTGATAATGCAACGAAGGCATGTAAATATCATTACCACAGTTTGATATACAATAATATACTCCTCTGGTTTTATTTATAAGACACTTCCAGTATGTTTTACACAAATTGAGAAAAACTTAAATTTCATTAATTCTCATTTAAAATTCAATGACTTTTCAACTTGATCCCTATTTAATATATTATACCTCATATAAACAAAGTCAACATAATAATAAATAAGGGGTAAAATTGGACATCTACACAAAAATTTTTTTCAGTACCCTATAAATAGAACAAAAAAATACCTTCTCTCTCTGCCCTATAAATAGGACCAGAGACATATCATTTATAGCATGATATATTTTTTTTTACAAATATTTAAAAATCATGAAAAATATAATTTATTCTTCAAAACACCATACGGGAAAATATCTAGTTGAGTATCATTGTAAGTAGAGTCACACTAAATTCAATCGACAGGGTTAAAATACGTGCGCGAATGACACATGTCATTCAGACATTCAGAATGGGAGAATTCTATGACTGCTTCAAATTTCAAATATAAGATATAATTTGTAAAATCAGTAATATGATCACAGATTCAAGCATTTTTTTTTTGGTATATAAATTTAAATGAGTTGGGTCCTGGGATTCACTGGGACAGGTATACCTCCAGGTTTAGAAATCGTTTATAGAGATATTTATAGATTGTCCTAACAAAGCCCTCATATCGATAATGGAATCTTCTTACTAATTAGACCAACTCATATCGTAATTCAAGCATTTTTTTTTGTACAAAGTAGGGCTTAAAGCCCAAAAATAAAACTATGAAGGATCCCAACCAATCATTGTAGCATAGGATCCTTATGTCAGTAGGAGACCCAAGCATATTTTTAGGTTCAAGTATTACTACTTCTTATTTTTGGGCCATACACACTTGTCCACCGAAAAACCCGTAACCGTAAAATCAGACCCAACGTGGCAACGCTCAGTCCGGCCGATCCCGCTCGTAATTTGTAACGACGACGACGACGGCGCGAACTTCATTTGGAAATTTGGTGAATTCACTTCTCTCAGCATTCCAATGGTTTACTTAACTTCCTGGGACGAGTTTGTGGAGCGATCCGTTCATTTGTTCCGTGCCGATCCTCACTCTGTAAGATTTTCTCTTGCATTTTCGCAATCTCATGTTTTCACTCTTCTTTTGTCTTTTTTTTCTTTCCGGTGCGAGAAAACAGAATCTGATCGCACAGAAAACAATTTCTACCACTACTTTTATTCGCATTGAATTTTTCTCTTGGAAATAACTGTTGGACTGAATTCGGGGTACAGACGCGATATGTCATGAAGTACAGGCATTGTGATGGCAAATTGGTCCTCAAGGTCTCCGATAATCGGGAGGTACACATCCTGATCTGTTGTGCCTTTAGCCTTTCATGTTGTCAAGATGTCCTTAATATAAGACCCATTTAACTAATTTAATTAATTAAAAAAATTAGGTAAGTTAGTTAATTATAAGAAATTTGCGACACATTTTTTTTTTAAACATATAATCATTTTTCTTAATACGCCTCTCCTTTTTTTACTTGATCATGGTTGAGGAAGTATCTATAGGGGTAATTGAGAGAAAATTGATAAATATGAGAAATGGGTCTTATATTTAGAACTAAAATTAATTCAACAATTAAGTCCTATATTAAAGAACAGAAGAGTATATTTTTATTCATATATAATTTTTGTCGAATGCCATTAGCTACTAGAATAATTATAGAAATGGAAGTGCGGGTTTAATTGTTGTAATGCAAACCAAATTGGAGGTAAAAAGTCCAATGGTCCAGGTAGATAAATACAGAGTTGGCGGGAATGTTTCAATTTTGTACGCTTTCCATAAATTTATTGAACAGAGCCCTTTTTGCCTTGCCACTTGATTATTCACGTTAGTTCAAGACACCAGTTGATGGGCTTTATTGACCAACTGCTTCAGTCCCCTCAATGCGTCTCTTGATTGTTTACCTTTTCCATTGAACCAATAAATTTGTTTCAATTATTCATATGTTATCCGAAGGTTTGATTTAAAATCTTTTGCATAACGTTGTTAAACTTTTCTCCGTATCCTGGTTGTTGCAATTTCTGGATGAGCTTCCCTTCTGTTCTTCTTTATAAGTGCATACAACTTTCTGCTTATGATCTAACTTTTCGCTCTATTAGAATTTCATACACCACATCAGAGGAATTGTTCAATTTGTGCCGAGTGTGTGATTTCCATTTTTATTGTATATGCTGATTTTGGAGGAATTCTCTTCTTTCCATTTGCAGTCAGAGGCCTTTCTGAGAAAGTTCCACACGAACAAATCCCTATAACTATAGACGTGGATTATAAAGTATGGACTTGCAGAAAAATGAGTCGTCTTCATGTTAGACGCTTGTATTAAAGACAAGAAATAACTTTAGAATTTGTTGTATGGCATATTTGTATGTGTGTGAGTGTCCATGCGCCTTCAATGTGTCGGTTACTATTTAGTTTAAATCTTCGATGCCAAATACTAAGGATGATGCTATCTCGAGGAATCTCTAGTGGTGATGGAATTAATTCCGTGGCACTATTTTACTGATGTATATGGTTATACACGCTTGTTGGATTTGGGAAGGGATGCCGGATGGCAAGTTGTCCATTTTTCTTTTTTGGATGAACAAGTTGTCCGCTATTGGTGACCCTGGCATGTTCCTTGCTTCATTTGCCAGCAAGGTGGCCCAGAGAGCTATACAAATTGAGATTTGTCATTGGTGTGGCCAAAGAGCTAGACATGTTAAACTTCGTTTTCCGTGGAGGAAAAGAGTATAATTCGAGCCGAATGTGACTCCCAGCATCAATTAAATTCGCATGAGCTCATGACTGCACTGTCTGGGGAGCCACATAAAAAACAGATTCCAAATAATGTCAGTTTTGTCGTTTGTATGAATGACGCGATGCAGTGAGTGATTTGGCATAAAGTTATTCCTTGCTCTTTTTCAAAAGCTTTTTGAGCTAACATCTTTTCTCACATCCCTGTAGCAGTGTCTGAAGTATAAGACAGACCAAGCACAAGAGGCAAAGAAGATGGAAAAACTTAACAATATATTCTTCGCATTGATGGCCCGGGGACCGGAAGGTGTGTCTTATTTATGCTTCTGTCAGACTTGACATAACGGGGCATCTGAAAATCATTATCCATGTTTTTCCTTAAAATTTAGACAGTAAGATAAAGCGTGCATATATAATTCTGTGAAATGGTTTGACGCCGTTTTTAGGCGATCTTAGTAAAAAATTAATTTGGACAAGAAAGTGAGAATAGTAAATAAAACCTTATTTTAAATGCAAACGATCAGCATGGGACGCACGTTTATGTTCCTCGTATGGGTTGAACTATTGATATTTCCCCCTGCTTTAGGCCTCTCTGAGAAGAAGGATTTGTCACTGTGGCCGGTTTGTCAATTTAACTGTCCATTAATTGTGCAGTGGATCTATCAGAAGTCACTGGCAAAGAACAAATGGAAGCACAACCAACCAAAAAAGGAAGAGGAAGGAAGCAGTAAACTGAATAACTGGCGTTTCTGGTTGACTGGATGTTAAACCTCCCATTTCTCAACTCCTACTAATGTTTTACATGAGCTTTCCCATCTTTAGTGTCGTAGATGCTACTGTGAAGTCTCAATCAGTTTTGTATTCTGAATGCAATGCTTACCTTGACAGCCATTTCCTAATTCCTACAAACAAGGGTGCCTTCCTCGAATTTGATGGCAAAAGTGATTTTCTACTTTTCTTACTTTCTTGCTCACTGGTACTCTTTTATGGCTCAGTTCTTTTTGGACATAAAAGCAAACCAATTTAAGTGTTGGATCGTGGGTGTAAATGCAAGTCACGCGTAGTTTTTACTTTTTACTACTTCCATGTTAATCTAATCTGGAGTTGCATTGCATATTATACTTGACGGTTGATCAATCGGATAATGTATCAAGTTTGAATAATAGTTGAAGTTCACAGTAAGTTATTACTTATGTTCTGAATATATAACGACTCCATCTCGTCAAGTAATGACCCCATTATAGTATATCGTTTTAAATGCTCAGCCATGTATCTTTAAATGCATTAAACATTGTCAATTAATGCTCTAAGTAATAAATCTTGAGTAGGGATTCAACCAATCCCATATTGGTAATTCACTTTGGTTCGTTCACTAAAGTCTGAGCAGTGTCCTGTTATTGAGTTTTAACCTCAAATGAAATCAAACAAGACAACAAATGCTCCAACAACTTGCAAGTTTGCATCGCTTGAAGTGAAAACCTGAAATTGCAATTTATTTGTCTAATTATTTTGCATAAATGAATGAAATTTTATAAAACTGTTAGGAGTGAGTGAGATAATTGCACTATAGTACTCTTGTCCTTTGTAATTGTCACTTGTAGGAGGGGATTTTGGTCCTTTTTATTTGTCATTTGTACCATTGTGGTTAAAGAATACATTTGATCGTTTAACTTTATACAAAGTTTTAATTTGGTCTCTTAACTTTAAAGAGCATACATTTAGTCATTTAACTCTAAAATTATTAAGCTTTAATAATAATTTTTTGCGACAATCATAGATGTTTTGAAAATTAAACTTAATATGTTAGCATTTGAGAATATTTTATCAACATTTAAGGTTTTAAGGTTGTCATTGTTTAAAAAAGTTTTAAAGTTAAAAAACTAAAAGTATACTTTTTAAAGTTAAAGGACTAAACTGAAATTTTATACAAAGTTAAAGGACCAAATATATACTTTAGCCTATCATTTTTAATGCTTTATTTTCAATTATGTCCCTATTAATTAAAGAAGACAAATGTCAAGGTAAAGAGAGAGGGAATGGATGAGAAAAAATATACTAATTATTTAACAAGGGTAAGTCAAAGATTTTATGTATTTAATGATTTCTTTAATCTATAAAAAACCAACTACAAATGATAATTAAAAAGGACGAAAGTGATACGTGCCGGGCAGTTCAACTTAAAACGAAGAAGTCTCGCATTTTGCACTTTTACTAAAATATATTTCTCAGAAAATATTTAAATAGAAACCAAATCATAGTTTTAGAAATAATTTTACAGTATACGAAATAAATATGTAAAAGAGTTTATTTCAATTTATGAAAAAATACTTTTGAAAAGCACTTATATAAAAATCCAAACACTTATTTTCAAAAGTACTTCTTATGTAAAACGAGACCAACTCTTTCATATATTTACTTCGTATACTGTAAAAACACTTTTAAAATCATGATTTTGATTCTATTCAAACACTCCAAGTAAACTCGAATTATATTTTGGTGAACCAAACATCGCTGAGCAAGCACGAATCCAGAAATGATTAGTAGATTGGATAACCACAAAGGTACCAATCATGGCCGTATTTGAATAGTTCAAAACCTGATTGACCAGATCCCAAGATAAACTGTTTGCTTTTGGCTGCTTTATTGGCCAATCAAAAAGTTAAAGCGTAAAATCCATGTGCCATGAAAACAAAAAGCTTGTAAATTTGCACCCTTTTCCACTCTCCCATGAAAGATAGTAGTAAAGAAGGAAAGGCATTTGGGGAAAATATTCTTCAATCAGATAAAGCAAAACAGATGGACAGAATGTTGTTTCTGGTGGGCCATCATACGACAGCACAGAGTGCATCGTTTTTGCTTTTTAATTTCATTATGGTTTGTTCCAAGCTAAGTGGGGTCCCCTCTCTTGAACAAAATTCTCAAGCTACGAGTAGCTGATGAGCATGAGTCACCTATCTTTGCTTCTCCCTTTGAAAGAGAGACCAAAAGGTGTTTGCTTGCCTTGTAGATTCTCACTTGCGTGGCATTTGAAGGCATTATGATGTGAATGTCTGAGTCTGAGTTTGTTCTTTATTTAACCACGCACCTGAAAAAACAAACAGACAATATCCAATTTATAAAGAATCGAGGCAGAAGCTAGTGACGATTTGCCTAAAGTCTAACGGGAGATGCCCAGTTATAATTTTAGAACTGAATGCAAATAATGATCAATACGTTACTTTTTTCCGCCACCAGAATTTAAAGGATTTAAGAAACAAAAAGAAAAGTTATATAATTAGGAATATGCCCTGCCACCTACGGAGGAAATTGAAGCATCGAAAAATAAAAAATGCCCCATTGACAGCATTCTTTCCCATTTCTTCTGAAATGTGGTGCAATATGCGCAAGATTTGATATTCATGCGTTACTCTTCTTGGTGTGTTGATTATCACTTTGTTCAATTGTTGAATATTGTTAAATTTTAATCTTCTGCATCAAATCTCTTAAAACTATATGAATATTTTTATTGTTGTGCACATACATGCGCGTAAAATAACTCTGGAAGTTGAACCATCGCATGCTTTTGTGGCTCCATTTGGCATAATTAATACAAACGCGTGGTAAAAACTTTTGAGAAGAGAGGATCAGAACATGAGGACTGTAATCAAATTGGGTCAGTTGTTTTCTTCTTTGTTAAAGAAATGTGTTGACTTCTGATAGCCTACCACAGATATGTCTCAAAATTGAGAGAGAATTTATAAGTGTCTTTAGGGTTCATATAATTTTTTGCTATGAAACTTGCATCTATTTTGATTTTTATTCCTCAAGTTTCAAACTCATAATTTTAGTATTTGAAACTCATTTTATCTTAAAATGCTAGGTGTTAACATTTGCTGAGGTATCATAAATAGTATTAAATCAATGATGTTAACTCACTAGATGATATCTAACTGAATCTTGTATGAATAATAGAATGATTATACAGAATGGGATAAGTTCTTAAAACATGAACAACTTCTCAAACAAACAACAAGAAAGAAAAATGGGTGCTAAACAATTGTGTTTTGAAGATCTGTTTTTTTTTTTCTTCCTTTTGTTATCCACCCGAGATTTAGTTACGTGCCATCTGTTGAATTCATATCACCACTTTAATGTCATTTATGACATTTCAGTAGATTTTAAACTCATTAAAGCTCCAGGAACTAAAGTATTAAGACTGATTAAATTTTAGAAACTAAAATTATGTGTTTATACCAAAATAGACTCAAATTATAAAGATTAAAAATTATATTAACTTATGTCTTTATAAATCATTCACCAACAAATTCTTTATATCCACCACAAAATTTGAACTCATATCTTTATATATGACCAGCTTTGTTACCGCTGGCAAAAAGGAAAAAAAGAGAGAGAGAAAAGCATAGCTTTGTTACTAATTCAACCAAATTTCATTAACTAGATCAATAATTCAGCATGTTTTTTCAAGCCAAAAAAAAAAAAAACTAAATCAGCATGTTTGATAGAATGGGAGGGGGATTTTAACGAGTTGAATTTTAAAAAAATAAATAAGTAATATTGCAAAATTTAATAAAAAAATATGTAAAATAAAAAATAAGAAAAATAAATTATTTTTAAAAATCAAACTTATTAAAATACTACTTCCAGTTTTAATTATAAGACCCTATTTATAGACTATAAATAAGGTCTTATAATTAAAATTGGAGGCAGTATTTTATCTCTTCTACTCCCCTTCATTCTCCTATCATTTTTTTATAAAGATTATCCTGCCATTTAATTCACCAAAACGCGGATTTATAAATGAATCAACTGGTCAAATAACAATTACACAAGGTGCCCCAGTCTCTCCAAAATCAACTCAAGTCAACGATGCCAGACCCACCTTTGGGGCCCTTACTTCCGCCCTTCTATAGGGTTGCTGGACACGTGTTCCATCTTCCAACGGCTATTGCCTGCCGGCTCCACTCCTTGCAGTTGTAGCCATCAATCATCATCAATTTATTGTATAAAGTTAATGAACAAAAATTAATATTTATTCATAAATTAATTAATTTCATTAAAGATGTATTCGTTTAAAAATTAAAAGCGTGATGAAATTTAGAAATTATTTATTTTAAGATAAACTTTTATTAGATGCAATGTGGCAACATTAAGCCTAAGCCTAAAAGATTATTCAAATGTAAGAAATCACTCTGCTATGTTATACTCCTCCGATATTTAATATAATATCTATTTAATTAATTTGATTAGATTAAAGAAGTTAGATAAGTTAGTTAATTATAAGAAATATAATATATTTTTTCTAAAATATTATAATCATCTTTCTTAATATCATCTTTTCTTCTTCTACTTGTTTATAGCTGAGGGAATATCTATAGACATAATGTAAAAAAATTAATAAATATAAAAATAAGTTTTATATTTAGGATAAAATCAACTCAATAATCAGTTCTATATTAAAAAAAGTATTAAAAAAAACCTGTCTAATCAAAACATAAAACCACGAAAAGAATGAAAGAATGAAAGCGTGATTTTGTGGGGGCGTGATTTTTCAAAAGGTTACTTAAGCCACCCCACTAATGGGTTTTGATTTTGAAATATGAGTGTTTGGATAATCTAAGGAGTATTTTTAAAAAATATTTTTATGTAAATTAAAATAAAATTTAAAATTGTTTTGAAAATTATGATTTAATTTGTATGCGAACACTCTCTACAGCTTCTTATATGAACAGAGAAACAAAGACAGCGTATAATCATACCTGTAATGATTGCCGTGAAAGTCACTATGTCATGCGCATCTGATTTTTTTTTTTTATGTATTCTAATTTGCATTTAATGCGATTTACTATACCTGATTTTATCCGTCAATACTTTTTTTTTTTTTTAACCCAAGTTAACTGAAATTGAAACTAATTAGAGCTGAAAATGGGGAGGGAAAAAATAACAAAGATCTTCACGTGGGACCCTTTCAAATTGACGGAGGCGGCACTTTCATTCCTCTCCAGCCTTCCCTTATTTAAATTCCTCTTTCCCCTCTTTCCCTCTCTGCGGTTTTGCTTTTTGTTCTTTTTCCCCCATAGTTTCTCCTTTCTCTCTCATTTGTCTAGCGAGTATAATTAATGATGCTCATGTGGGAGCATAGAGTATATAATTTTTCTTTTCCTTTTTGCTGGAGAGAATAGTGAGCAGAATTTTAATTTAATATACTGAAAGTTAGCGGTTTTGTATTCTTATCCTAGTGTGAATTTTCAAGCCAAGCGAAGTCCTCTTTCACACTTCAATCTCATAGCCATGGTTGGAGAATCTAGGGTTTGACAGCACCAAGTCCTTCAAGGTCCGTGCTTTGGTGCTTTCATTATCATTTTCACTGGAAGTTGGGTGCACTGAGTGGGCGCAGATATGTCGCAACCTCTATTTGGTGTTTTGAATCAGTTTTGGCAGACCCAGTTGGTTCTGATCTCTTCGTCTATTTTACTCTGAAAACCCAATTATTTGATGAAATGAATCAAACACAATTCCTAATTTGGCTGTGTGTGTGATAGAAAATGGGCTTTTGTCTATCCGGGTCCTTTTATCTGTCACGCATGGTCGAATGTCTGATATATCTGCTGATAAATGGGGTTTTCTAGTTTTTTGCAGCATTTGTCTTAGGTTTCTGCCTCTCTGTTCTATGGGGAACTAGGTTTTGTCTTCTTTTTCGCCTTTTAGGAAGATAGGAGCTAAAATGGAAGGGGTTGAAGAAGCTAACAGAGCAGCTGTTGAAAGCTGTTATAAGGTTCTAAGCTTGTTGTCTCATCCCCAAGATCACGCTCAGCATAGGAACTTAATGGTAGAAACTGGGGAGACTGTGGGGAAGTTCAAGAAAGTTGTTTCTCTGCTCTGTAACGGTTTGGGTCATGCAAGAGTCAGGAAACTCAGAAGACTTCAAATTCCTGTTCCTCAAAGCGTACTCTTAGACCACCCTAATTATAGAACAAATTATCATCAATCAAAAAATTTACAGTTTCCCCAGAACAGCTTTAAGGACGAGTCGATTCAGGAATTGAGAAATTCACTCTCCCTGGGAAATCCATCGTTGGAATTGAGCTCGAGTGGGAAAAGTCCTCTCCAACTTACCCAGCAAGCATCATCACAGCACTATCACTTCCTTCAGCAGCAGCAACAAAGGTTATTGTTACAGCATCATCAACAGATGAAACACCAAGCAGATTTGATATATCGAAGGAACAACAGTGGCATAAATCTAAATTTTGATTGCTCTAGCTGTACACCTACAATGTCATCAACTAGGTCTTTTATTTCTTCCTTGAGCATAGATGGAAGCGTAGCTAACATGGAAGGAAGTGCCTTTCATTTAATCGGTGCTCCTCTCTCTTCAGATCAGAATTCACTCCAGCATAAAAGAAAGTGTTCTGGCAGAGATGAGGGCAGCGTCAAGTGTGGGAGCAGCAGTGCCAGGTGCCACTGCTCAAAGAAGAGGTTAGACTTGTTCGGACTATCCTTGATTGTTATCGTTTTTTCAAAGTTTCCGGTATGAGTCACCTGCACTAACATCTGTCATTGAAAAAGATTTAGATTTCTTTACCATAAGCCTTTAATTTAGCTTGTGTTTCTCCTCAGGAAACACAGAGTAAAGAGATCAATTAAGGTTCCTGCTATCAGTAACAAGCTTGCCGATATACCCCCTGATGATTATTCATGGAGAAAGTATGGACAGAAGCCGATTAAGGGCTCTCCTCACCCTAGGTATGCTAAGGCTTTACTTTATGACATTTATCCGAACGAATTATGAGGTATATGGATAATTTTTTTGAATTGATGAACAGTGGGTCGGTTTTGAGTACTATGATGTTGGGACTGCTATATGGAATTTGCCCTCTTCCGCTTGGCAGTGAAAGAATAGATAGCGTACCCTCGTATCTTCATTCTTCAATTTCTTTATTTTTGGGCGTGTTTTTGTGTTGTTCATGTTAATGCTTCAATGAGAGCTGGAAAAGCATGTGCATATGCGTCGTTTGTTCTTGAGAAGAACTGAGGTAGATAAATCTATCATCATTTAATAAATTTCTTCTTGTGCCTTTGGGTTCGTATGCTATGTCACCAGTCTCTCATCATCTTCCTGTTCCAATCTCACATCCACAGTGCCATATGGTGCTGTATTGTAGATTCAACGTTGAAATAAATCAGTTTAGAGTTGCTCATAGTTTTGTTTTGACGAACATGTTTGAAAAATTAACTTTTTATCATTTTAGTGGTGTCAACATGGACACCTATATGTGGGGAACGTTAGTTTCATGATTATTCGTTCCTCACCAGCAATCTAATGTAAGGCGGAGGTAGGTACCCACGCATGTGAAATGTATATAACTGATTATTAACTATGATTTCCAGTTTCATGTTTCATCCGAAAGTATGAACTGCAAGATTTATTTGAGGAAATTGACTAGAATCGCTTTGTTCAGGGGATACTATAAGTGCAGCAGCATGAGAGGTTGCCCTGCTAGGAAGCATGTTGAGAGGTGCTTGGAAGACCCTTCCATGCTAATTGTTACATATGAAGGCGAACATAACCACCCTAAAATGCCAACTCAATCTGCAAATGCATGAACTTCATGGAGAGCTTAACCCAGATCAAGCAAGCCCAACATTGAATTTTGTCTCTGATTGGCTTCAGATGCTGCTGTACATATTTTCAGCTGTGCAAGCAGGGATGTTCTCAGCACACTTTTTCAATCCTGGTTAGCCGGCTGATGAGCTCTTGGGTTGGAAGAAAGGGGATGAGGATCAATGGTCCCAAAAAAATGTAAAATTGGGTAGTTTCGATTTGAAGGAACCATTTTCATCTTTCTCAAGCATGTTGTAAACATCACTAGGTTTTTGTTAATGAATGACGTGCCATTTCAAATCGTAGATACTGTCTGTGGAGTGCTGTCATAACTGCCGCTCAATTGAGTTCTCTTTGTCTAGATGCTAGCAAGCTACGCACCACATACACATAAAACTGTACGAGCTTTAAGCTGATAATGAGTTCCCACAAATTTGTCCCCAACTGCTATATCTGTGCGGGGTATTCCATTAAAAGGTGGTTTGGACCATCAAGCTACCGAGTGCGCACAGATCAAGCCGGCTTCTGGGTTTATAGATGTAAATGCGAAGCTTCGGGTGGTTAAGCCAGAGAAAAGACACGATCTTTCCAGATTTGAAAATCAATCCATGCAAGGATTTTTCCCCCAGTCTACTGTGTCTGCTTGCTCCAATGAGTTTGAAGATGGGAAAGTTTATGGGCAGAGCATGTGAGTCCTAAGGGGACCAATATGGGCGGTCATGCCCCATCATTAGTTCTCCTGGGTCCAATGCCAACTGTTGTCAATATTATTAGAGAATCAAATCTATCTTTTGCCTCTGTAATCCCTCTCGGCAACACCGAATTGTTCAGCCATTTTTTGGGACATGTACTTGGTTTTCTGGCTGTATTGAAATAAGGTATGGACTCGTAAATGTCCGCTCGGGACCAACTCAGTTGTTGGGGGTAAAGATTTTAAGAAAAACATGTGATTCAATCTTTTATTCGGCTGTTATAGAGTTCTCTAAATGAGAATGTGTATGTACGTAAAATATTTTTGTAGAAATCAATTATCGATTAATATAATGCAGAAGCAGGAACCTAGAAAGTTGCCGTATCCAAAGGATGAAATGATTATGGATTATCCAGTAAGCTTCCACTTGAAGATAACGCGTGGGATTTTGGGGTGTGGTTGTAAGTGGGGTGCACGCGTGCAGTGGCATTGTAGTGAGGGCCGAGGAATGCCGTTTGGATTTGGATGGAAGAGAGGGAAAAACCGAAAGCAAACGTTGATGGTGGTGTAATTCTAACGTGGGATCGATTTGAGCAGACCCAAGTTTCAAAATAATGAATCATGATTGCGGCCGAGTTGTGTGACCTTGGATGGAAGGGAACAAATGATGAAACAATACCTGTACGGGCCAACTATTTTGTGTTAGTGGGAGACTAATCAGCAATTCTCACAAAATATGGGAATTGATTATTCAAGGGCTTAGATTAGTTATGGGAGTTCTGTGGCCTTGGACGGACCGATCTTCTTGCTTGAAAAAACGGGTTGGGATGAGTTTTTTGGACAACCCATTGGGCCGAAACAATCAGTTACAGAATGTTGGGGGCTGTCTTACTACAAACCCATGAGCAATCTTAGGATCATTGGTCGTTGAAGTTTGGTTTGGCGGTGGGCAAAGTAGGTGAACTTGCCTAGTAATGGGAAGCGTTTTATCTAGAAGTCAGAAACGACATGCTAAGTCTGCTGCAAGTCGTCTCATTCTCTGCGTGGACTGGACAGCACATGAGCTCAATTCCCGCCCCATGCAGCGTCCTCAAGTATATTGGCTGCTGCAAAAGTTCCAAGGAAGCTAGGATGCAGATATATATTTACTCCTCCGGTCCTAATTATAAAACCCAATTGATTTATTTAAGGAGATTAAGGAAGTAAGTTAAGTTGGTTATTTATAATAAATAAGTGTTATTATTCCTAAAATATCCTTGCTAATTAAGTATATTGGCTAAAACTATCATTATTAGAAGGATTATCTTGGAAAAAAATGCATAAATATAAGAGAAAAAATGGATTGGGTCTTATAATTAGGACCAAATAAAAAGTCAATTGGGTCTTATAATAAGGACCGGAGGAGTATATATATATATCCTAGAGTTATAAAAATATATTATTTATAAATCATGAATCATGTATTCGCCTCAAACTTTATATAGAAGACATGTTTTAATTAAAAATAAACTAGTCATGGAATGAATTTTACGATGTGCTCATGAGGGGTAGTAGAAGTAGAGTGGGGACCACGGGACGTTGGTTCAGACGGACTACGGAGATGGGAAGGGGAGACTCAGGGTTAGGCTTAGCCGCCGATTCTTTGTCGTCCGCCCTTTCCCACGTGCTCCCTCGTTCTAGGGTGGGGCCCTCCCACGTGTTTCATATCGGGTTGCTTCTTCTCCGCCCGTCTGTCACTCTCTCCTTGGCTCCCCTTTTATCCCATTTTCTTTAACATTGGAGCGTTCCCATTTGATTTCATAAATGGAGCCTCCAGCCCCCGAGCATGTTCCCGTTTCCCTACGCTAACAAATTTAATCCCACACCCTTTGCTCTTGACTCCTTTAATTTCCCATTAAATGCTATCCCTTCCTCCGACTCAGATTAGCCGCATAGGCCGCCTGTCCTCAAATTTAGTTCTGTTCTGTTTATAAATTTTAAATTAAAAAAAATATTTTTTTATTATTATAGTATTTAATTGTTGAGTTGATCTTGATTCTAAACATAAGATTTATTTTTTATATTTATTAATTTTTTTAAAATTATCCTTATAGATATTCCTTCAACCATAAGGAAGATAATTATGGTGTTTCAAAAAAACATGTCATATTTTTTTATAATTAACTAACTTACCTAACTTCCTTAATGTAATCAAATTAGTTAAATAGGTCTTATATTAAGGATCGGAGGAATATGATTCATTTTGTAATTTTTAACTTAAGATTTGTCATAACATTTAATATTTTATTTATCTTTAATTATTTATTTTCTTTTCTTTATTATACTATCTCTTATCACATTTCTCCACTTATTTTTTTTCTTATTTATTATAAGGATATGTTTGGAAATAAAATTACATTTTTAAATTAATTTTAACTAGTGATTTGTTATCTGTAAATTAATTAGTTAAAATTTATAATAAAAACCAAAACGAGTAATACTTAGGCCCCAGATTTGTGTCATTTCTTTTCTCCAGTCAGCCGGGATCCGTAAGAAGGTTGGTTCTACACCCACGGAAGAGAATACGAGAACGATTTTGAGAATCAGATCTAATTATCAGCTTAATGACTGAAGCTTTTAGAAATAATAGTTTTTATAAGACAAGATAAATATATAAAAAGAATTTTGTTTTTTTTGGAAATATTACGATATTAGTAATTTAGGGAGAATTGTTTTTTGTAGAAAAATATTTCTTTAACATTTCAACACTGACCAGTGGCCGCCGGCTCACCAATAGTCAAAAAGCGTATGGAATGCATAACATCTCCTACGAGAAATTATTACGCCCAAGTGTAGAGGACTTGAAAGCACGTTAGCAAATTTGGAAAACTTGTGAGAAAGCTTCACATCTAGGACATGTCTGCAATTTTATGGCGTGAGATTATATTTTACATTGTATTACTGGTCTCTGCTTTTATTTATTTATTTATTTAGTGCAATTTAGCGCGCGCACATCCCCCAGATGTTAGTGCCGACTTGGAATCCGGGACCTCATCCAACGGGGCAAATGGCGTTGATACCGGAACAATCAAGCTTTAACTTGTTCTCAGCCTAAACTGAAAAAAGTCGCGTTGTAATTCTTAATATAAATTTATTTAATTAATTTAATTAGATTAAAAAATTAAATAAGTTAGTTAATTATAAAAAATATGATATGTTTTTTTTATAAATACCATAATCATCTTTCTTAATATTTTTATTTTCTTTTCTACTTGATTATATTTAAAAGAGTATTTACAGAGATAATTTTAAAAAATTAATACATATAAAAAATAAATCTTACATTTAAAATCAAAATCAACTTAAACAATTAATTATATTAAGGAGCGGATGAGTAATATTTTGAATATTTAAATGACAATTTTGGGGCTAAAAACGTCTGAATGAGCAAGGAGAGGAGGGGAGGGATGCCGACATCATCATGTCATCATTGCTCCTGCATTTTATGCTACGCTCGAACTATTAATTTAAAAGGTTGTTAAATAATTTAATTCTTAGCAAAAACATGACCATACTTGATTAAAATATAACTGAAACAAAATACTGGTACAACACCTGCCAAGATAGTGAATATCTCTCTCGTTGTTGTACGGTTGTACCGCAGTTTTCAGAATCGTCGGATAATAATTAAAATTAAAAAGAAAAAGGTAGAGGGAAAGTGGGAAACGATAAATTGACGGAAAAAAGAAGAAGAGGAAAATCAATGTTTTCTTCCGAGGGAGAACATGGCGAGCATCGGCATCACCAAAACGTTTTTGCCAAAACAGTAGAAAGGGAAGAGGAGAAGAAAAGGCCTCAAGTTTAGGAACACGGCATCAAATGTGCCTCACACGCCTGTTAACTCCAGTCCATTAAATCCGATGCGGTCATCCCTACCAAGCCTCCCCCTCGGCCCTCACTCATTAACTCTTTCCTTATTTTATTTATTCACCTTCAGTTTTAAATTTAAGGAAGGATATAGTCTATTTTATAAATTTTAATTTAAAATTTATTTACATATTCACTATATTTTTTCAGTTTGTTCTTAACTATTTATTATAGGTTCCTATCATATTTTTTTATTATTTATTATATAAATATATTAAAAATAAAATTATATTTTAATATTTTTAACTAATTATTTGTTATTTATAAATTTTATTTATTTAAAGTTTGTAATAATAATAATAAGTGTCAGAGGAAGTATTTATTTATCAGTATTATTATTCGAGCACCCCCGATGTGAATTCTAATTCTAATTTTAGCACCCAATACAGTCCCCAAGCTTGTCGGCGTTAGCCCCGGCTGTCTCCTCCCCTATTTATACCCCTCAAACCCTCACTTTCTCTCTCAGCTCTGACCCTTCTTAGCTTTCCCACTCATGGCTGTCGACGCGCTTCGTCTTCGTCGCGATTCCCTCCCCGGCCCTCCCTCCGATCCTCCTCCCCTCCCGCCCAAGGCCCTCCATTTCGGCTCTCCGGTATCTAAGGAGGCGCATTTTAGAGGCGTGCGTAAACGTCCCTGGGGCCGATTCGCAGCCGAGATCCGCGATCCCTGGAAGAAGACGCGCAAATGGCTTGGAACCTTTGATACCGCTGAGGAGGCGGCCCGGGCCTACGATGAGGCTGCCAGGAGTCTTCGTGGCCCCAGGGCAAAGACGAACTTCGTCTATGCCGCTGTTCCCGTTGCTCCGTCTGTCCCGATGTCACCGGCGGCGGCCTCTACCGCTAGTGGCGGTGTTGGTAATGGTGGAGAGATGTTTGGTAGGCGCGTGGGGTTTTGGAGGGCTCCGGTGTATCATGCGGCGGACGCCACGGCGGGAGTGCCGGGGAGATCGGAGTATAAGGGATACAAGTTGGAGAATGTGGATTTGGTGATGGGAGAGGAGAGAAAGATGCGGAAAGAGAAGAAACCGTTGATGCTTGATCTTAACCAACCACCACCACTCTTCTAGACAGCGTTATGGTCCGGGCTTCTCAACGGTCGGCGATAAGGTGTTCAGAAGTTTTCCCTTCGGTTTTTTTTCCCCGTTTTCTAAATGACTGGGGGCGGAGTATTGCCCTTGTGATGTACAGCAGACAGTGGAGGGTTTTGTTAACGAAAGTATTGTAACCTGAATCGATGGTCTAAATGCATGATGTATCTAAATACTGTAATGGTCCTGAGTTCTATCATGGAGCTGTTCTGTTTGCAGTAATAATAATCGAATCCGTTCTGAAAAAACTACACAGAACTGTTTTATGAAGGAAATGGGATGGGCTGACACGCACACACCCCGAAGGGGGGGGGAGAGAGAGAGAGAGAGAGAGAGAGAGGCAATAAATGAGAGAGTTTTGGTTCAGTAAGTGTTGACCAAAAAACTTGAATGATACTCAGAATTGGGGGCGTTGGGAAAATGAAGCGGAGAAAGTGGGGAGGAGGCATGAGCTGTGGCGTCACTGTTGGGATATAAATGCAATTCTCCCGAAGTGAGTAAAGAAGGCGGTGCCGGTGCGGCGGCCAGAAGAGAATAGGCATGAGCGTAGGACACCCCGCCTCTCCATAATCATTAAAAATCGAAATTGTGCGTGAAAATTGGTATACTTGGTTTTTTATTGAAAAATTCTCAGCATACTAAATATAAAATATGTGTACTTTTTTCCGTCGAATCTTAGCCTGTGAGAGAATAATCTCTCTCGCTAGCCTAACCAGTAACCACTAGTTGGTACTATTTTGATTTCTCTCTACATTGCTCTTTTTCATTATTCATTCCATCGTGGCATCCGCACAGCAAGGGTCATTATTTTTCCACCAAGACTATTGTCATTTCCCTGAGGAAACATAAATGTACATTACAACGATTTCACAAGGATATTTGAAGCATGAAATTTTAATTAATAAATAAATCGGACCAGCCTAAGTATCGAGACAGGCCCAGAGGCAAATTTCTTTTCCCGACCAAACCCTATCCGACGCCCACCGCTGCACTTACTAGGAACAAACGCATCATTATTACTACTACACGAGTTAATTAAAAATTAATGTGGTTCGAAACACAAAATTTCAATCTGTTTTTTTTTGTATAATTCAGAATATTCTCAACTCACTTAGACTTAAGACTAATTTCTGTCAGATCAGAAGAAATACGCTTCTCAAAACCCGAATCTATCTCAATCTACTTTATTTCGTATGTTTATTTATTTTTCCTATTTATATTTTTTCTCAATATTTAATCTGAAATCTATAACCAATTTTTGTTCATTAACTTGAGTAACTTTATTTTATTAGCACCTACAAGGACTACAGGGCCTCTGATGGGATCAAATTTTTATGCTTAAAAGAATTTCTAGTTTATTTTTCCAAGGGGCCTGAGGGCTTCTTTGCTTCATTGGAACAGCAAGAAAGTAGAAAGAGAAATGCCGGCAACTAGCTTCGTTCAGTATGATGGAATGTACTTACTGAGGCCCGCGCATTCCACCTGTTAAATGTGGTAGGAATAAATGGTGCAAATTTAATTTCACCTATTCATTTATTTTATAAATACTGTAATATTTTATCATAAAAGATAATTCCATGAATTATTACTTTCTTGTTCTTTTTATAAGAAATAAATATGGAAAACATAACAGACACTGAACCAGTGTCTGGGGCATTTGTTGCATTATTTTCATCACGCTCCCATCAATTATATGGAATAGTTGAATCAGTGTAATTAATAAATCACATTGTCACATGCTTAAAACCATATCAAGCATTTAATACGGGGGTATTTTGAAAAGCACTTTAATTTTGTAACATATTCAATGGGCTTAACTATAACCAGATTTCTTAGTCTCGGGCCTTGATGATTCAGTTATGTTTCACTTCAATCATGTTGATATTCCACCAATGTTCAACAAGAAGTTCCTTATGATTTCTAGTCCAATTCTAATGGTCATTTCTTTGTTACTCTTTCCAAAGTATCAAATCAAATATATCATAAAGAACTCGAAGCATCTGGGGAAAATTGGCGATCCGTGAAGAACAATAAATCAGGTATTCGCTTTACTATTAAAATAGCTGATCTCCAATATCTCCAAACAAAAAATGATCAAACGGTGATAATGTCAACGAAACAGGCCATGTGGAACCATGTTAAGATCATTGTGGCCCAAATCTTGGACGTCAGGACGTTCCAGCGCATAATATACACCTCTCGATTCAAAATCAATCCACAAGTTGCCAAGAAGCAAACGTTCGGACAGCAGCTCTCGATGCCTTTTAACTCCCAGTTACAAAAGCTAGCAACACAACTACACAAGCCTACTTTTCCGAAACATATACCTTTTACAAGCAATCAATTTTATAGTATTATTCACTTTATGACTACACACTAATTAAACTTCGATGTTAATATTCTCTGAACATTTGCCAAAGATTTGCAACGGAGACATGAGGAGGAAACTTTCTTCTAAATAACGAGAACATATGGTATACCAAAAGGAAAAAAAAAAAAAAAAAACATACTCTTCTGCTTTTTAATATAGGATCCAATTATTGAGTTAGTTTTAGTCTTAAATACAAGACCCTTTCTCATATTTATCAATTTTTTCTAAATCACTCCTATAGATATTCGCTCAACCATAATCAAATAGAAGAAGAAAAAAAAATATTAAGAAAGATGATTATGATATGTTAAGAAAACATGTCACAGCTCTTATAATTAACTAACTTACCTAACTTTCTCAATCTAATCAAATTAGTTAAATAGATCCTATATTAAGGACTAGAGGAGTATAATGGTAACCTTTAACACGTTCAAATTATTGAAACTGGTACTCCATTAAAAGCAGTTAAATTTTGTTTTGTTTTCTACTCCAATAAACCAAACATTTTCCAATACATCTTAACTCCGAGAAGAGGATAAGAAATAACAAAGCTCACTAATTTTTTTATGGAAACAACATCCATGCCTAGTTCAGCGATATCAGAAAAAGCATTGCAATATCATCTAGAAACTATATAAATAGTTTGGCACAGCAAATGAAAGGTACACCCATAACTAGAAAAGAGACGAGCTTGTACTCTTCATTAAGAGGAATGAACCTTGAGGAGTGAGTAGTAGCACCAATACCGGGCCTCCCATGCTTAACAGGCTTGTAACTGATTGAGAATTCAGCAAGATAGTGACCGATCATTTCAGGTTTGATTTCAACTTGATTGAAGGTCTTCCCATTGTAGACACCAATAATGCTGCCAATCATTTCGGGTACAATTATCATGTTGCGAAGGTGAGTCCTTACTGGCTCTGGCTTTTCACCGGGTGGGGCCTCCCGTTTCTGTCTCAAAAATAAAGACCATAGTTTAAAAAAATGTAAAATAAAAAAGATTCAGGATAGACAGTCTAGCTCAGAGCAAGGAATGGGAAAAGAGCTTATGGTCTGACATAATTCTTTTTTTCTTTACACCGTGGGAAAATGTGTTCTAAGAACAATAATTACTCAAACACCGAGCTGAATTTGCCCTGAAAAAAGGTATTGGTTGAAGATGCAAAAGCTTTCAATTTCAAATTGAAGAACATATGCCAGTATGTCATTTGATCAATGATCTTCACACGTCTCATTTTGAACTATGTGCCTCTCACATAAACCAAAAATAGAGCCAAAGAAAAAAAGATCACCCCAAACTGTCCAGCAGAAGCTTGGAGGAGAAACTAGATTACTCTTCATGACCATAGATTGAAATAATGCAAGTTAGTCAAAGGCAAAAGACATCCCTATGGAGCTAAATCTCTAAACATCTCAGGCAAGAGGTGGCAAAGGCAAATGCTGAGTGATACAAGCCCTAAAGTAAAAAAATATATTATATAACAACAGACCGATAGATGCACGTACCATTCTAATGGCATTTGACATAAATTTTAAATTTGAAACTACGAAATATATAGTCTTTAAATAATTATCTTCTCTCAAATCTCTGTAATTTCCTAATGTCTTCTTCTGCTCACAAACTAATCCTTCTCTTATTGCTACCAAACAGAGGCACCAAGGATGCAGTCCGGAATGACAGAGAAAGCATCAAGAGTTCCTGGTTGGAGGTGAGAGGCACTAACCATGAATAAGATCTCACCGAAGCGTCTAAGGTGTGAGCTTTTGATATCCAATAACATTCAACATTGCTACCAAGGGCTTTCAAGATAAAACAATAACAAAACAACAAGAGCCTTATTATCCCACTAAGTGAGGGTGATTACTTGGAAAGTGCTGTCAAGAAAAATAGGAAAAAAGATCTATTTCCTCGTTGAACAATTACTCCCTCAGCGACTTTGCCTAAATGTCGCCTCTATTTCCATATGCTTTCCGACTTTTTAAGCATACAACAATTGTAGTCTTATCCCACTCAGGTTGGCTATGTAGATTGCAACATGCCCTTGGGGTACGCCAATGCTAAAGTAAAGCAAGCATATAACACAATACTTCATACTTTATTTTAACCCCATGGAACATAAAAATTCCGGTCAACTAATATATACCAGATGTATCTTCACAAAATGACAGCTGATTCTAATTTGGAAAAGCCTAGTCTTGAAAATCAGACAACCCATATGTAGCTGATTTCTTGATAAATGTTTAACAAGTAACAAAGAATCATCAGCATGACTGAACATTGAAAGTTTCCCGTTGAATAAAAACGCAAAACCGATCATTTTAATGTCCAACAATATCGACCAGGACATATCGTAAACAATTGTCATGTAAATCACAAAAATCGTTGGATAAATAATCATGAAAGTATAACTTACCGCCTTGCGAAGCTTCTTTATCAATGCCATAGGCTTACGTTTCAAACCGCGTTGAAACCTGAAATCAAAACATAAAACGAAACAGGCAACCCACAACAGTGTCAGGTAATTAGATCGTGAACAGGCTAATTAGGTAAATATAGTGGAGAGAATGCTCTGGATCAATCACCTTCTACGAGCACGAGCATGAAAGAGCTTTACAAGCTCGTCAGTAGACATGTCCAAGAGTGCATCCAGATCAACTCCTCTGAAACTGAACTTCTTGAATGTTCTCTTCTTCGGCTGCCCTGGTGCGACCCTCTTTTTCAACATCCGCCTGAAAAACCCAAGATAAATGATAACGGTGAGTAATAAGAGTAGGCGAAGGTGAAACTGGAAAAAAAAAAAAAGAAAAACCGTTTGGTTCACCAGAAACCGGAGGAAAGATAAGGAAAATTGGACCCAAATAGAAGCATTCTTCTCTTAAAAGAAGGAGAGTATGTTTCCTTCAATTTCCTGTGAAGAAAATAGCGAGTTAGGAGAGCTAGGAGCTTTACCATGGCTGCAAACAGAGACGAGAGGATTGAGGCGCTGATATGTATGCTGGTCGCTCTAGGGTTTCAGAATGGCGGCAAACAGTCCTGAGCATTTATAGGGTTCCTGAATTTTTGACGGGTTAGGTTTTTCGGCAGAATTTCAGTTGCGTGGGCTAATTGGATTAATTTAGGCCCTTAAGGCTCCTCGTTCCTATATAAAGCCCGTTCTAATAATATGGGCCTTTGGTATGAAGATAATAATATGGCTTTTTCCTATCAACAAAAATGACATATTAAAACCTAAAAGAAAAAATTACAAAAAAAAAACTACTGAATAGAAAAATTACACACAGAGAGCCATTCAAAAAATTATTGTCAAAATCCATACTAATGTTATTATGGGTCCCAGTTTACAATTTTTCTATTTCCCCAACCCAAAAAGAATTTTATGCACCTTGAGTAGGGGTGTTTAAGGTCAGCCCGTCCCAGTCGGCCCGTTCCGGTCCCGGTCTTATTGGGACGGGACGGACCCATCCTGAAATTTTCGAGATGGGACAAACCGGGACGGGACGGGACCACGGACAAGGTCGTCCCGTCCTGGTTCCTTTTTTTTTATCCTATTTATATAATATTATTTTTTATATTTTTAAAGATTTGAGACTATTATATGGAAACTATAGATATATTTATTTAGAGTTTTATATTTGTTGATGATTTGAGATTATTGATGATTAGAATTTTTTAACAAGTTTTTATTGTGTTAAAGTTTTTGTTTAGAGTTTTTATGACTATTATATTTATATTTTGGGTTTTTGTTGAAAAGTATCCAAACAAATAAAAAGAAAATAAAAGATATTTTTATAAGGCCTAAGCCCAAAAAACTATAATTAAAAAAAAAATCAAATTCTATTAAAAAAAAAAAAAATAAAAAATATATATCAGGATGTCCCGGTCTTGTCTCGGATCCGTCCCGTCCCGATCAGGACGAGACAGCACCAGGACGGACCAGACAGGGAACACAGATTTTTGTCCCGTTACTATTTATCGGGATGGAACCAGAACTGGCCTGTCTCGATCCTGATCCTTCCCGTGAACAGTCCTAGCCTGAGGATCATAATTTTTAAAAATTCTGCTAAAAATTTAAGGACACAGGAATTTTTTCCCTTAGTTATGTGCGTGCTAGAGCCTACATGTAGGCATGCCGATAACCCTCTCGACCAGCCCAATGTTACTTATTGATTTTTTTCTGTTTGCTTGTAATCTATAAATATTGATTTATTTTATATTACACTATAAAGTAGTCTATATTTAGGATGGGAGGAGTATTACTTTTTAATATGTTTCATGTAATAAATTAAATTTATTATTATCAGTAATTTTTATTATTTCAGTCTTCTAATTTTATTTAAACTTTTAAAATCATTCTTGACTGAGTGTATATGTTACGTGTTATGCGCTGCATGATTGAACATTTATAATTTAAAATTATGTTACTTTGATCCAAACATTTTTTTAAAAAGTGAATATATTTTGAATGAAGACAATTATATTTTTTCATAACTAAAATAACATTATTATAAATAATTTTTGCAGCGGGCTGTGTGAAGCTTCGGATAAGGGCACACATTTTGATTTGTAATTCAAAGTCACTGGGCCATTAACCTTCATTATGGAGGATGCAGGTCGTACGAAGGGGCCCTTGTTGATTCATGGATTAAGCATGTTGGTTGGGTACTCTTTCTGATCAGTTCTTGAGTTACATAAATTAGGTTAGGAAAAAAAAATATAAACATAAGAGAGATAGAATGAATTAAGATCTTATATCTAGAATTGAATTTAACCCTTCTACTAGCTTTATGTCAGGTATTGGAGGAAGTATTACGCTTAATTGTAAATCTAGTATCTGTATGAGCCGTGGACCGGTTCTACTCCAATCTAACGGAATTATTAGCCCATAGGGAGAAAAAGAAAAAGGAAACATCTCATTAAACTACAAAGTTAAAGTGCCACGTTAAAGTTGTTTAAACATGGTCTGTAGCAAGTCTTTCCATCTGATACTGATACATGGCTCTTGTTAACTTTGTTTATGTATGTGAGATACTCCTCACTTCTGGTTGGCACATTAAGAGAAATATTTTCATAATCTTTTAAATAAACATGCGCTTCATCTTGACAGTTTTAACATGCTAGGGAAGTGGCTTCTAAAAGGATCACGAAAACGAATATGAATTGAAGCACAAGAAAGAGT